TTCCTCCAACCATGTAAAATGACTGCTCTGAAAGATCATCGTACTTTCCGTCCAACACGCCCTATAAGAATCATGGTTATTAAGAATTACTGCCGCTAAAACCACAAGCTATGCAACTAAAATTCGACTAATGATGATGCACGCATGAAACATACATGATAAACAACAACACTACACACATAGCAGCCACTAGAATAATTGGATAGGTTTTCTTGGCAACATATGTTTTACCCAAAACTGTTATGGACCTTGTCAATGAATTCTCATAAAATTGGATTAATATTATCTGTGTAACCCACCACAAGTTGACACGTATCCAAGTAACTACCATTTTCTACATATCTGGGTTTGGCCGTACAGATCACATTGCATTTATTTGCCCTAATATAAGCCAACATTACCCATATATCTCATATGGGCTTGGCCACTTCATTATAACATCTACTAATGCATTCAAAAATTTGGTACAAGTAATGGAGGATATAATAAAATGGATCCGTTCATTACAACTAATCAATTTTTATGTTTGTCATAGCATACTATACAAGAAGCCATGCAGAGATAAAATCGTGTACCTGGAAGCTGGTGATGCTCTCTTTCAACTCCACATACTTGCCGGGGGCACCAGTGAATACTTCTGCTACATGGAAGGGCTGGCTCAAGAACCTTTGGATCTTACGAGCACGAGCTACAGTTAATTTATCGTCTTCACTGAGCTCGTCCATCCCCAAAATGGCAATGATATCTTGCAAGTTCTTGTAGTTTTGGAGAACCTTCTGCACACCACGAGCGGTATTGTAATGTTCCTCACCCAAGATATGTGGAGAGAGCATACGAGATGTAGAATCCAAAGGATCAACAGCAGGGTAAATACCAAGCTCAGAGATCTGACAAAATAAAGAAACAAAGTGTTCTGAGCAAAGAGCAGCAGTTAATCATAAGGTAACATCAGATAAAGCCCCTTCAAAAAACATACAGATGTGTACAGTACCTGACGAGACAACACAGTTGTAGCATCCAAGTGAGCAAAGGTTGTTGCAGGAGCTGGATCAGTCAAGTCATCAGCAGGCACATAAATGGCTTGCACAGAAGTGATAGAACCTTTCTTGGTGGTGGTAATACGCTCTTGAAGGCCTCCAAGATCAGTAGCCAATGTCGGTTGGTAACCGACAGCAGATGGAATACGACCAAGCAAAGCAGACACTTCTGAGTTTGCCTGGAAAAAATGCACAAAATTCAAACCATCAGGCAACATATAACACATAAAGTGAAGTGTTTCAAAAGCTTCCAAAATAAGCCAACTCACTTGAGTAAATCGGAAAATATTGTCAAAAAAGAGAAGAACATCCTGCCCTTCAGCATCACGGAAGTGTTCAGCCACAGTCAAACCAGTAAGGCCAACACGAGCACGAGCACCAGGTGGCTCGTTCATTTGACCATAGACAAGAGCACACTTGCTTTCAGCCTGGAATTACACAAAAAAGAAAAATCACAAAGATTGGATGCAACAAAATACAGAAATCTGGACAAGATGAATAAGATGTCTGGCATTTTACCTGCTTGTCACCTAGCTTGATGACACCACTCTCAATCATTTCCCTATACAAGTCATTGCCCTCTCTTGTGCGTTCTCCAACGCCAGCAAACACAGAGAAACCACCTATGTACAGAAACTACTAATATAAGAACAATAACCAATGTGAAAACTGTGAACCAACAACAAATATAACCTAAAACCAACCATGAGCTTTAGCAACATTGTTGATAAGTTCCATAATAAGCACAGTCTTTCCTACACCAGCACCACCGAAAAGTCCAATCTTTCCCCCTCTTTGATATGGGGCAAGGAGGTCAACAACCTACAAAATAAAACAAGATAAAAGGGTTTTGTAAAAGACAAACTCATCCAGATTCAGACAACAGAATGTGTAAATAGAAGCTTGTCCTGAAACAGGATAACATATTTCAATTAGAAAGAGAGGAAACAAGAATAGCATGGCATCAAAGAAATACATAATTCCAAGCATTAACTAGTACCTTAATGCCAGTGACAAGGATCTGCTGTTCAGTAGCTTGATCGACAAAAGCTGGTGCCTCCCTGTGAATGGGCAAGTAGTGGTCGGTTTCTGTTAAAAATTAAACAGTCCTTTAGATTATTGCACCAGTATACAATACATTGTTCAAACTATTAAAATTCTGGCAAAACCCTAACTAAGTTCGCCTTTCTCGTCAATAGGCTCTCCAATTACATTAATGATTCGACCAAGAGTAGCTCTACCAACAGGCACCTGAAAAGAACAAGCAAACATGATTAAGTGAAATTCAACCACAAAAATAGAGTACGGCAGACAATTGAAAATGGTAAAAAGATTAATAGTAAGCTGAAGAATAAAGCATTGTATTTGAATTAGATGCCTAATACTTTCGGTAAAAGAATCACTGATTCTAGAAAATAACTCAGATATATAATATAATCATATTTATCTTAATTTCACAGCATCTCGAAGTTCCAATTTCCGACATTACCGCGTTTACAAAAAAAAAATAACACTTAAAAGAGAAGAGGAAAATTACAGTGATCGGAGATCCGGTATTGAGGACAGGCTGCCCTCTAACAAGTCCCTCTGTTCCATCCATAGCAATGGTCCTAACCATGTTTTCACCCAAATGCTGTGCTACTTCCAGCACAAGCCGGATCGAGTGGTCCATCACCTCAAGGGCCGTCAAAATAGGAGGCAAACCTTCATCGAATCTCACATCAACGACGGCACCGATCACTTGACAAACCTGACCGATTGCTCCTGCTCCAGTAAATTCATCGGTGATCTTACCTTTTCCGCCGCCTTTCTTAGCGGAAGGAGGCTGCGATGGAACAGAAGAAGCGGCTGCAGCAGCAGCAGCAGATGTGGCGTACTCAGCGTCGCGTGAGAGCAAGTAAGAGCAGGGAATAGGACGACGCGTAGGAATCGGAGAAGACAGAAGAGGGTTAGCGTTTGACGATCTAGACAGAGATCGGCGAGAAGTAGAGCGGAGGAATGAACCGAAGAGCCGACGTGAAGCCATTGATTTGGGCTTCGAGAGAGAGAGAGGCTAGGGATTGATGGATTAACTTTTCGGGAGTGGTGCCTGCCCGTTGAGTTGTTATAATGCTGAGAGACTGGGTTAGATTTTTTTCATTTTTACAGTTTTACTACGTGGAGTGTTCTTTTCCATTTTTACTCCTTTTTCTCTCTCTTTTACTATATTTTAGTGGTTAGACTTTTTCTAGTTTTTCTATTTAGACCTTTAATTTCGGGGCATTTTTCAAAGACTTGTGCTTTGTTTGGTTGGTTTGAATGGTATTATCAACATATATTTTTATTTTATTAAATACATGTGTTATTTTAATCTAATCATGATTGACAATAAACTATATAAATTTTAATTAAAAATTAAATAAATTTAAACGTTTAAATAAAAATTATTATTCTTCAATATAACTATATATATATATAACATAAACATTTATATATAAAAAAGTGTAAGATTTTATTGAAAATTTTGTTTTTATGAAGGTCTCTAACAGTTAAGATTTTGTTTTTATGTATTGAATATATATCTATATATATTCAAATTCTTATTTAAAAAAAATATTTTAAAATTTTTATATGAATAAAACTCGTAAGGAATTTACATATGTTACTATTCAGTACTAACTTAATCACTATTTATAAACATGATTTATATAATATATTTACTTAATCTTTTTATTGAAAACAAAGTATGTATATTTGAAATCTTCTGATTTTTTCTTACTATACTTTTTTTTTGAATTTTAGTGAATCTTATATTTTTTAGATTTTATATATGTTTTAAGTTTTACAATTATTTATTTGTATTATTAATTTTCAGATAAAAAAATATTATAATAAAAAATACAAATATCAAATTTGGACAAGAGAATTTCATATACTAATTGAGAAAAATGTTTATATGACATAAGCTAAATTTTTAATTAAACTTTATTAACTTATAAATAGTTCATGATCGATTTCATGAGTGTATTACAAAACTTTATTTAAACATATTCACAGAACTTTCAGAGATTGAATACATAAAGAAATGGAGTAGATAAATTTTTAAGAATTTAAATTTTATCTGAAGACTACTCATTTTCTTTAATAATTTTATAGTTATTTCTCTTAAAATCCATTATTAAAGTCTTTAAGTGTTCAATTTGAAAGATTAGATGCTTATTTGGGTATGTCCACAAAACATTTATACAAAAACTAAGAATTTACTTATAATACTTCTTTAAATTCTTTTCTAAATACCCAAAGATAAAATAAAATAAATTACATATTTAATAGTAAAATTATTACTTTTGCTTTATTTTAGTATTTAAATTTTAGCATGGCATGGCTTTGTTAAGCTGAACACCTCCCGTTTCTACTCAATCGAGGCTAGTAATTAAAAAGTAAAGTACACATTTAGTTATCTAATTATTTTCGTAGTTTTATTTTAATCATCTAACTATTTTTCTTTTCAAAATCATAGCTAAAGTTATATTTTAATCACTTACGTTTAAAAATTAACAATAACACTAATGTATCATCATAAAATAATACCATATCTTTATTAAAGAAATAAAAAATTAACACATTGGCCATTTTTATTTATTTTTTTAACAATTAATGATCAAAACAGAACAAAAACATAATTTTAAATATAATTTAGAAAAAAAATAATCAAATGCCCAAAACAAATCCACAAAAACAATTAGGTGAATAAATTTGTAGTTTACTTAGTTAAAATAATAACAAAAGATTACCAACAATTGATTAGTCTATTGATTATTCTAGTAGGATGAATCATGACATTTAAAAATAGAATAAACTAAGTTGAAATAGTCACTCTATATTAGATATACGTAATAACCGATTCAAATTAATCAATTATTAGATAAGAAATAGATGGTATAATACCAAAATATATATATAACAATACATTCTACAGCTATATAATTGATATATATAGGGTACAACTAAAGAACTGTTGAGACATTCGAGTACTAAATAGACATTCTATAATTCGTGTCATTATTAACCAAGACTTTGCATTTTGCATGCAGATATGGAGTTCAAAACCCAAGAATTGCTTACTGCTTTGGCTCCTATTGAATTTGCCAGAGCTTCCGCATCTGATTGCCGGCGGCTTACAATCATATGCTTCTTCTTTGGATCACACTTATCAGGCAACTCAACACTGTAAGTTATGAAGGTTGAAGATATAGGGCAACCCGATAATATGGATCCCGGATCCCCTGAAATGGGTTTTCTATGCAGAATGGTACCTCCAGCAGCTATTACAACATCTTGTAGATATCCCTTGTAAGAAGGTTCGAAATCCCCCATTATATAGAACTTGCACTCATTAAAAATCTTCGGTTGCTGCAAAGAGTAATGTTGTCAACAAAGAAATACAGTCGAAACAAAATCAAATAAACAGGTAAGTTCAGTGTTAATATATTGCATACACATGCAAGCATCATTCTCAGCATTTTTCCAAGAATAACTGCCCTACATCTTATCTTTTAGAAATAGAGTCAGTGTTACATAAATTTTTGGTTTTCGGTAGATGACAATGACAAGTTCCCGGTAAACAAAAGGTCGGAAGAAACAGGGCCAATGATGAATTAAAATAAAAATTTATAACAGATCATGAGTATTTGAAAAGCAAAGACCAAGAGGAGCCAACCTTGTTCTGGAGTCTCAGCCTTCCAAGTCGTGGACCATTCCTGATTCCATGAACATCGATACTAATTTCATATGGTAACTCATCAACAGGTTTCATGGCTTTGATGCAAGCTTTGGCCCCTGCACAAATAGAAGTTTAAAATACAAGTTGTGATTATTATAGGCATATGCAATTCTGCAAACTATAGCTCATAATTACAGAATATGCAGTAGACACAAAGGCTTATTAAAGCCTTAAAACTATAATGCAATTTTTGGCGTTAAAAGGTACACTCACAATTAATATTCAGGATCCACTTCCCCTCCAAGATACCCATTAAAAATTTAAGGGTTCTTTTGCATGCTCCATTCTCATCCGTGGATGCAATGACATGGGTGACATTTGAATCCCATTTTTTCAACACTGTAACACCAGCTAACCTTTCAAATTCAGATACGATTTCCTGTTGTTCAACAAATTTAGAGTAAATGTTAAAGTATTTTCTTTCTGTGAATGGAAAAAAAGAAAGCATAAGCACAACAGGCAGTGAGTCAGAGCCCTTGCCTTTTCTTCAACTGTTAGAACCGAGCAACATAGAACCAGTTTGTTGTGTGATTCACAAGGACTCCATTTCTTCTGCACACAGCCATCTTTGTTTGTAGGAACTTCATTATGGTGAATTGGCAAATGTCTGGAAATGAAGCAAGAACTTAATGAATTTTTCATGAGCAAGAAATGGTGAAGTATGTCAAGACTCAGGGAACTAGAATGAGCTGAATCAAAGTTTTGCATACCCTCTTAAAACACTTCTTTTGCTGCTTCCTTGAGATTCCGACTTCTCATTAGGCAACTTAGAAGAGGGATGAAGAGGGCATAACATTACAAAGTTATCCTATTGAGATCCAAAATAAATACACACGTTAACAGGAAACATTGTCTTAACTTCTCAAAATAAAAATTCATATTAAAAAAGAAAAATGCTTGATCTGTATCATACTTACAGTATCCCACTGGCACTGTGAGACTAATTTTGCACAGGGAACATGGAAACTCTTGCGACAACTCTTTTCATAACAGCCCAACGATGCACCCTTGAGTCCGCAACAGGAGCATTTTATTTTTCGACTTCTGGAGAGTTCAGCTTCAAGGTTGATTGCCTTATCATTTTCAAAATAAACATTAGGGGCCCTGCAAAATAATTTCACATTATAATATACTAACAATGCAGAAGCTACAAGTTCAAAGAGTCTAAATCAAGTGAGTTTAATTGATTAGAAATTCTTTTACCATTCAGTGCAATTCTTGTGTGAATGTATAACCTTAGAGCCACCATTGTAACCTTGAGGAACAGGCCTTCCTTCATAGTAATGAACCATCTCTCCTGTAGCCTGCAATTTTGTTTAACAAGTAAGCTTCAGCAATCTGAGAGAAAATATGGGTTGTTTTAATCATATCATAGAAAATTCTAACCTCAGAGTCTTCCGTGGAAAGACAGAAAGCACATTGTGTTTTCATTGCAATGGTCTCACATTTAGGCAAGGCTTCTTCATTTGCTAAAGGCAATTTCTTTACTGTTGAACCATCTGTGATTCCAACAGTGGTACTCCCATGAGCCTTTCCACTTAGTCTCTCAGAAAAGACATTAATATTTCCTTGCTGCTGCTGTTGGTCTTCAGCCAACCAAACTTTTGTGTCACCACAAAAAGAAACTTTCATCTTTTTCTTACAATTTGGGTTTTTTTCACTTTTCAAATTCGTAGCTGACTTTACTTCCCTAGCGGATTTAATTGATCCTTTTCTGACCCGTTTGGCACCACTGTCATGAGCTAAGGGACTGGGAAGTGAGGACTTCTGTTGAATCATATTTTCATCTGTCGGACTCTGGATGCTTGAAACTTCTTTAGGGATATCAACCTTATTTGGTTTTTGTTTCTTTGACTTTGAAGAAGATTTCTTTTGGCATTGGGCAGTGATATTCCTGCAACTTTCATCACCACATTTTCTCTTACCCACTACAGCAGGCAATTCTGTATCACCCTGTTTAGGAGTTTCAGCATTTTCATGGTGATCCAAACCAGCCACATTACACGTTTTCCTAGTTTTAGCAAAATATGAACTTCTACTACAGTCAAGTGCTTGTTTTTTGTTAAAATCTTCAGATCCTTTTCCCAGATTACCATGATCTCCAGAAATATGACTGCTAGTCCTGTCAACCATCTTCTCTTGGGCAGTCTTTCTCTGCTTAGCACCCAACTCCTTGGATTTACAGCTCCCAATCTTATGACTAAGACGCTTGGTTCTGGAAGATGTTATATTAGGCAGCATCTCATCTGAAGTGTTATGTCTTGTTACCATGCACGTGCCATTATTAAAGGGCCCAACTGTATTTGCACCCTGTAATGCTGGTTCTTCAGTGTCCTTGACCTGCATTTGTTTGAAATAATAGTAAACCAGAATGATCACACCTTATGGGGGGAAATCCTAGAAAAGAAGAAACACAAAAGAGCTTTAGGCGGGGGTCTTAAATGAGATTACTTTTACCTGCATTTTAACTGGACTTGGAAGTTCTGGAGAACAAGGTCTTTGGGTCCATTCAAAGATTTCGCTATCAAAAAGACTCACATGGTCAGGGTTTCCATGCACCTCCTCTTCCTACATGATTTTATGAAGACGTAAGTAAAAAGTTTCAGGCCAATACAAGCTCATGTATGTTGCAGAGTTCAGTTGTCATTAAAAGGAAGATTCATGTATTATCATGTCTACAAATTGTTATGGATACCTGAGTAGCAAATTTTACTAAATGCACTTAGCTGACAATGTCATATGCAAGTGATCACTTACATTAGAAAACCCATCATCATAAGAATCCTTCATATCACTGAAAGAAGGAAGTTCAGGTGGCGTTGAGTACACATATTGATCCCCATCAGTGAGCTGACTTGGCTTCTCTACATCCTCTTCCCTCAACCAGAAAAAAGGTGAAAGTGTTTGCTCCTCGTTTTCTCCTAAATTGTAGATCTCCTTTGGACTATTCAAACTCGTTTTACGTTCATCCTCAGTGATTTCAACCAACCCATTTCCATTTTTCGCAGACCGCATGGGTGTTTCCAACTGGGGATGTTGTGGCACCTGAACCCTTTTGTTTGTCGGAAAAGAAGGCTTCACAGGAATGGAATCAGAACTTTCTGTTGATTTAGCCACGCTTGATCCTCTTCTTTGGTTTGCTTCCTGATTGTCTGCTCTTTCAGTACAATCGAGAGGTGGATTCTGGGTGACAAAAATACTGAAACCTGAAGCTACTTCCATGCTTTTATAGATGTTAACCAAGTTATCCATGTGAGGAGCTGGACGAATCTCTACAGCATAAATATTAAATATGTAAGTTATTTCCATTTGCTTCCCATTTCAACAAATTCAATCGAACGTTGAATATAAGCCAATGAGAAAAATGCAATATCAATTGAAAACAATGTTGTTTAATATAGTATCAAAGAACACCAAAATAAACAACAAAACAAAAAAAATATATCGCTGGCCTCAATTTCCATTCAATCAAACAGATAGAGGGATTTAAAGAAACTCACTGCCAATGAACAAAACAACAATTTCAAAAAGACTTAAAAACAAGAACGAAGCACACCTCGACGCCGGTAGGGCACTTTACAAATTGGACAATCGGAACCATATTTCATTGATTTCACTATACAGCCACTGAAAAGCACCAGAAACTTATCGACGTAAGGATTTCAATGAATTCGATGAAGCTTAGACGCATAAATAACTAAAAGAAAATGAGAAAGGAGTTAAAGGTATATATATAACATACTTGCAGAAGACATGATTGCATGTGAGGGAAACCGCAGAGTTCAACAGACTCAAGCTGCATCAGAATTCTTTTTATTAAGAGAATTAATAAAAATAAAGAAAAACAATTAAAAAAGCACGAAGTGAAGAGAACGAGTAATACCAAATGGGGCATTTCAGCTCTCCGCCCATTTTCTCGAGGTGACTTGGATCCCCCATTTTTGGGTCTTTAGATGAATGGATTTTCCTTTCTTCTGGAGAATAAGCGATGGAAATAACTGAAAAGATGAATGGAACTGGGAAGATGTGAATAGTGGCGAAAGATTATATTGAAAGAAAGCGCTAAACCAAAATCTCAAATTCCCAACCCGCCATGTACCGTTGGCGCTCTATTTCTGGTTCATTTTCATTTTTTAACATTTTGAACCTACCACCAACTTTGGGCCGGATAATTGCTATTATTTAGAACTTGACCTACCAGCCCCGAAGAACATTCATGGCAATAGTGTTTTTTCCAAGGGTAAACTAAATCATTAGTCACTAAACTTTAGATTAAATATCGATTTTAGCATTGAAATTTAAAATATTTTAGTTTTAGCATTAAACTTTAAAATATTTCAATTTTAACATTAAACTTTAGTTTATGTTTCAATTAGGCCATTGGGTTGTTAAATCATTAACGTCATAATGATGTGGTAGTTTATTTTTCCTATTTTTCTATAAAAAAATCTTTTACTCATTCGATCATAGTTGTTGGTCAAACTTCACTTGTCATTGATCGTCCTTAATGTCATATTTGGTATCAAAATAATTATATTTCACTCGTTTTTCTTCTCTTTATATTGGATTTCCATAAAATCCATTTAAAAATAACAAAAATATATCAAAAGATTCTTTGTTCAAATGCTATGATCTCTTTTGATGGTCGTCCAATGAGACTAGTTTTTATATATATTGTTTGTATTATCAAAATAATGTTTCTTACCATTCTAATTTTAAAAATACTTCCTAAATCCCTCAAATCCAAAAAAATCTCTCAAACCCCACACCCAAAAAATATTTTTTTGTGTTTAATTTCTAAAGTTTTAAAGATGTTTTAGAAAAAAAATTCTCTATGTATGAAATATTGAGAAGAGTGTATTGGTACTTAGGATGTCCACAAAAGATGTTGGAGAATGATTATTTCTAACAACAATTATAAATAAACAAACAAATAAACTAATTTTGACAAAGAATATGAGTATGTATAATAAAAAAATTGTACTTTCACACCAACATCAAACTATCACCTCATCCAATTGTTAATTATTTAACGGGTCTATGCCCTAATTAAAATGTAAACTAAAGTTCAATATAAATTGGAAAGTAAAAGTCTAAAATCAGTACACAACCTAAAATTAAATGACTAATGATATAATTTATTTATATTTTTAATCACGCACTCCATCTTTACCCTATTCGCATTTTTAAAAATTAATGCCTCCACCTTAAATTTAAGAATTTAATCATTTCAATTTTTTATATAATTATTTGTATGTCATTTTTTTGATAAATTAATCCAGATAATGTATTATAGAGACGAGCGAGATTTTCTTAACCCAATTTATTTGTTACGCAAATATCATGATTCAAATTTTTAACATTACTTAAAAAAATATAGTGTGTTGTACTATTAGTCCAACTTTAATCATTTGACTTTTAAAATCTAATAATTAAACTATAATTGCTTTAAAGACAAAATAGATTTTGTGGTATTTAAAAAAAATTAGCTCACTTGGTGAACACTACACTTGTGTAAAACAGCTAACAACACACAGGGTCTGAACTTTGAATGAAAACGAAGATGGAGGAGTAAAGAAAAGGATGGGTAGATCATTCAAAAATTTCCCATGGCGCCATAGCCGGATGAGAAGGATCAATTTTCTCCCACAGGGTTCTCACAATAACATCACCACCAACCTTAGCTCTTCCATTCGATATCTTCAATGTCTCCAGGGTTTCGACACATCTATGAACTCTCTTTCCCTGCAAGTGTTTCTGCGCAACAGCGTCTCCCTCGGCAGCAACATCGTCTAGCTTGACCGCTTGTCTCATTAGCATATCGATCAGCGTCGTGATTTGAACTTCCGGTACTTTGGCTCCGTTGGAGATCGATTTCTCGATCGCGGAAACCTTAAAGAAATTATCAGAAGCAGTAAGATTTTATCATTTTACGTGGTGGTTGATGATATTGTTATGAAATGATGATTTGCTTGCTTACTTGATCTGTCAGCTTGTCGAGTTCCATGGAAACGTGGTTGATAGCCCGTTGAGCGGTTTGGATCTTGGCGTTTCTCCGTATCTGGATGAATCTTCGCTCGATGCTTGCCGGATCCTCCATTAATACGAGCTTCGATCGGTCTTTGACACCGCACATGCCCAAATACTCACCGTTTTGTCTATTTTTCCCTTTGAATATCACTCTCTGTTCACTCGGTTGTAACCCGGTTTCTGCTGTTAGACGCTTCTTCACCTCTCCTGTTTACTACGTAAAGGAAAACTCAGTACCAACTTTCTCACTAGCCAAACATCAAAGAGAAAGTCAAAAGAAAATGAAAAACCGTTAGTAGATTAAGTAGATCCGGTTTTTTTTTTACCAAACGTGGCTTGAGAGTTCACGGAGATCTCGTAACGCATCGCCCCGTAAACAACACGCAGCCGAACATCAGGGGACGAAACGCCGCTGTTCTGGTTCCTTTTCTGCACCAGCATCCCTCCGGGTCTCATTTCCCAATCGGTTTCTTCTTCCGTTGAAACATAAGATGACAATGTCGTATCGGTTGAGCTTTCACCCATTTTATCATACCCATTGGACATTCTCTTCTTCATCATCTTCCTGTTGCTCGCACTAAAAGAAAAACTAAACTTTTCCAGGAATATTGTCACTGATTTTCTTAGGGAGAGAAAAAACTTTTCAAGGCATTGAAGTTAACGAATTGACCTAGTTTCGGCTTCCTCTGCCGACAGTAAATTTAACAGCGATCATCGACAAGATTTGGGTGGGGTTTTTTATACGCGGGGTGTAGTATTTTATGGTTTTGCTTCAAAAACAATAGGAAAAATGACAGGAAAGTGTTTCGACCAATGGGAAGTCTGCCACGTGTGATCTGTCCATATGCAACTTGTAGTAACAGCTAAGCAATAGTTGCCGACAGTTATATATATATATATATATATATATGTATGTCAAATAAAGATATAGAAACCACAGTCCAAATTAGAAATGTACGTTGGACGAGATGAGACTCTAATTTAATAAAATATTTTTAATATAGTTTTTAAAATTCTTAAATTGTCGGATAATAAGAAGTGTGGAAGAAGAAAAAAACTTAGGTGAAAGGTAGATCTGAAGAAAAAACTTGTGTTGTCAATCAGAAGATGACCTTGAATTTGTAATTCTAATTCGAATATAATTTATCAATTTTGACAGTTTGTGTTTTGGAGCTAGATAAAAAAGTTGAAGTATTTGGTGCTGTAGATTCTTAGTTTGACCAAGAACAATAAAGATACATATCTATTTGTCTGTATTTGCAGAATAGTTGGAAGGCAATTATATACATATATATATATAAAAGATTGATAATGAAATGATAAAGGATTGATGATTTAACTCTGTAAATAGTGATTTTGGTTAAATAATAAGAAAATAATGTGATATATTTAAATGTGCAGTGTGTAGTGACTGTTTTGTAGTTAAGAATTGGTTGATTACATTAACTTACCGATTTTGTGTATTTACTGTATCAGGTGTACATATATGTGTGTTTGTATGCGACATGCATGTCTAGTTTAATTTGGTTGAGGGTATGAATTTCATGGTGTGTGTATTTTTTTATGTAATTAGTGTGTATATATATGTGGTCAACCTTTCGAAATTATTACTGCCTGGGTAATATTTGAGTAAAAAAGTTTGTTTATTACTTTTGTGTTTATCATAGAATATTGATGTATTTGTTTGATGGTCTAGTTTAGGATAATGAATTTAGAATGTTGATAATGGGCCTAATAGCCTTGATGCAGGTGTTAGCGATGCTAGTAGTGGGCCTAGCATTGATGCAGGAAATATCATCACAACTAACAAATATATGCTGTCTAAATATCAAACTTCACCAACAGATACATTATTCATCAAGTAAAAATGCTATCTTATAAAATCACGAATCATTCCTTCTATTTATTGATTTTTTAACATACGATACTATTTTTTTCTTTTTGGTCCTTCAACCTCTGAATTTCATCTATTTTGACAAATTCTTTCAATTTAATATTTTTTTTATTTTGACCATTTTCTATTAACGACCAACATCATATTAGATTGAGCTCTCAACTCTACAACTACAGTCTACATATCTATTGTCTTATTTCCTCTCAAGCCACTGAAAAAAAAAATCACAATAATTTTAGAAAGAAATTCAAATCAAGCGCAATAACTTAAGTCGAGACTAAATGAATTATAAATCAATTTTAAGAAAATAAATAAACAAAATTAGCTACAACCAGGTCCGTACAATCTAAAAAAAAGTGGTTGGGTAATAATATGAGGCTATTTAACATAACTGACCCCAATTTTCTTTAATATTTCCTTTTTGACACCGTTTGACCAATATTTTCTGAAGTAGTACCCTTTCAGCTGAGTTTGCAAAGGCGCGTCCCCGGGGACGCGCTTTACCCGTGTTTTCGCTGAGTTGGATGCCACGTGTGGAAGGCGCATCACCGGGGACGCGCCTTTCGCCAGCTCGACTGCCACGTATTTTGTTTAATAATAATATTTTATTTTATTATTATTATAAATTAATAATATATTATGTAAAGTGTTTCGATTATAATGTAAGAATTATCAAATGTATTTTGTTAATGTGTGTTAAAGGTAGAGTGAATTATCTACATTAATATGATATAACAATATATGAAAACCAGTTTTGATTTTATTGTAGTTATAGGAAAAATGTATGAAATTATAATATTACACATATGGTTATATTATTATTTTTGATTTTGATTATCGATCTATTAATTTTATCAGTTAATTATTTAAATGTTATCAATCTAGTCATCTCATATCAATATTTAACGAAAATATTGATGCATAAGTTAATAAATTAGTATAATTACATATTTAATCTTCAAGACTTACATATTTTATAAAATTAGTCTTATTGAAAATTTAATTTAATATTCACATGAAGGAGCGTTCCCAGGGGCGCGCCTTCCATTATTTTGTCAGAGAATATGTTATCATTGCCATATTATGTCACTCATGTCCCTCGGGAACACTAGATATATCAGTACCTATTATTTCACTATTCACATGAAGGCGCGTTCCCGGGGGCGCGCCTTCCATTATTTTGTCAGAGAATATGTTATCATTGCCCTATTATGTCACTCATGTCCCTCGGGGACACTAGATATATCAGTACCTATTATTTTACTATTCACATGAAGGTGCGTTCCCGGGGGCGCGCCTTCCATTATTTTGTCAGAGAATATGTTATCATTACCCTATTATGTCACTCATGTCCCTCGGGGACACTAGATATATCAGTACCTATTATTTCACTATTCATATGAAGGCGCGTTCTCGGGGGCGCGCCTTCCATTATTTTGTCATAGAATATGTTATCATTGCCCTATTATGTCACTCATGTCCCTCGGGGACATTATTCATATCAATACCTATTATTTCTCAGGGGACTTGAAGGGGCGTTCCCGGGGGCGCGCCTTCCATTATTTTGTCATAGAATATGTTATCATTGCCCTATTATGTCACTCATGTCCCTCGGGGACATTATTCATATCAGTACCTATTATTTCTTAGGGGACTTGAAGGCGCGTTCTCGGGGGCGCGCCTTCCATTATTTTGTCATAGAATATGTTATCATTGCCCTATTATGTCACTCATGTCCCTCAGGGACATTATTCATATCAGTACCTATTATTTCTCAGGGGACTTGAAGGCGCGTTCCCGGGGGGGCGCATTCCATTATTTTGTCATAGAATATGTTATCATTGCCCTATTATGTCACTCATGTCCCTCGGGGACACTAGATATATCAGTAAATCAGGTAAATTATAACAAAAATTTAACTTCTTTTGAAAGTTCAGCAAGTTAAGAATAACTTAAATTAAAACGTTATGTGAAGTTTGAATAAATTAGATAAAATGTTATGGATAAATTGAATAAATGTGAAGTGATAAGTTGATTGTGACATTGAAATTGTATGGAATGAGCATTGAAATGTGACATTGAATAAATTGCCAATTCACCCCCCTCTTGGCCGATTCCGTCGATCGATTAACTCAACATAAGTTGATTTTAATGTATATGTTTTAATATATATGTTAATGATAAAATCATATGTATGGATAAATTTAATTTCAATTTAAGTATTGTGAACTATAATTGGAATATAACTTTTAATTTCGAATACAATTGGAATATTAAGTTGAAATTTAATGTTAAATTTCGAATACTATAATTTATATTTTAAATTTAAATTTCGAATAATATTATTTTTATTTTAAATTTCGAATAATATAATTTGTATTTTAAAAACATTTATCAAACATTTAATGTTAAATGTGAATAAAAAAACATTAAAAATATGTATGTAACAACCATGAAACATTTAAATAACATAACCAAATTACATAAAATTCTGAAATATAATTATTTAAATAACATTAAATACAACTGGATCACCGATGTCGTCTTCTCGAATGAGTTCCACATGGCGGTGGTTGTCTATTTCGTGGAGGATTTCTTCGTGGAACTTGTTCTTCAGTCTCTTCATCTTCACTATCATCATCAGCAGCATTTTCTTCATTTGGTGTAGATGACGGTGAAGGGGCTGGAGGGCCTGTATAAAATAACGACCCTGGATGAGTACTAGTAACAATCCCACCGCTCCCCGGGAACTGTGAAAACTGTGTAAACATTGGCATCGATGTCTGTGATCCAGATGGAGATTGAGGTGTCTGCGGAGAAGCACCACCAGCCAAATAAGATGCATATGAACCATATGCTGGATCATTAAACATAGTCGTAAATGTACCTCCATATGGTATAAAACCCTGCGGGCTAGGCATGTAACCTGGCGGGCTAGGAATGTAACCCTGCGGGCTCGGAATGTAACCCTGCGGAGATGGCATATAAACTGGTGGGCTTGGCATATGAAGTGGAGGGCTGGGCATGTACCCCTACGGCATCGACGAATAAGGATGTTGTGGTGGGACTGATGCAGAACCGATAGCGCCTTCTCTCCGTCCACGCGTCGGGGGACGATGATATTGAGACGGTTGACGTCTTTCTCGGCGCCTAGGAATGTTAACCCCTCGTACTTCCGCCTAAAGTAGAAACGGCTTCCCATTTTCATTAAACCAGTCCATATAGTTATTTGTAACCATATGACCAGTTTCAGCGTAATATTGTCGAGGGGCCAACAGTGTATATCGGTTCTCCCAAAGCGCAATCCAATCTCTGTGTCTCACCACCCAGTTAACATCTTTCTTTCCTCGTCTATCTATGTTATGCACGTCGTCTAAATTCCTAGGAGCTCCAGGAATATATTGCGTATAACCATACTGACGGAGCACGCGATCAACTGGATGCCACTCAATAATAGCATAACATATAAGAGGTATAACCAATATCCATACCTCTAATGACCCACTAAGGTGGGGTGGGATGCAAGCTTTCACTTCATCGCTCGCATAAGGTATCCACTGAAACTGAAATATAAATATACAATTCAAATAAATAAAATATTCTAATTATATCTAACATTTTAAATTAAAATATTAATAATTAAACAAATTTAAAAACATACCTCAGACCCAGCTTTCGTATCAATAAGTAAACGAATTTCCTCTAACCCAGT